AAGTAGCCGGTTGAAAACAGCCAGCAAAGCGCCTTTCTGCAGCCTTAATTCTACCCACAAATATACAAAAATAACACGAGCACATAATTTAGGGGTCAACGGGACTATAATAAACTACTAACTTTTCTCAGAGGAATTTAAATCACTTATTGCAGCTGACATTGCAGTTTGGTACGGAACGGAACCCTGGCCTTTGAGGCTGTCAAATAACTAAAATATACATCACCTGAAATGTTACTTTTAGACCGACTTAAAAAATATGCTATAAGTAGTATATTGTAGAGATGCAAACCTAGAGCACGTTAGCCGATGTCCCCGATATATTAGAGCATTTGTAAACAAAGTCAGCTGATGTAATGCGGTAATCACATCGTCAATCATTGTATCATAAAATATCCACTATAATCCGATACTAATCATATTATTTCTCACAGCAAATACAAAGACGTTTCTATATGCATCAACTCTCTTTCAGTCACCAAAGTTGAACGATTTTTTAACAGGATATTGCAAAATTTCAACGGGAACGGGAGTTAGCGGGAAAAAACATTTGTATGAAAATATCTAAACCACGTAAGATAGATGAAGGGGGTAAAACGGGATCCACGCGTAACGGGATCGTCGCGGGCGGCCGCTAGTTAACTATAAAGTTGGCCTTTAATGATTGGGAATTTTATTCAGCGGTCAAGAACAAGTCCTGGGTACACAGGAGATGCAGTGGTGGGAACGAGAAGTGGGAATAGTCCTGATTTAAAAGCGCATCATTCAGTTATTCCAGATAAAAAATATACACAAGTTTGGTTGCGAAAGAAATACCTTACAACTGAAAAACCTTGACAACGCCTAAGCCAATGGTGGCCTCAGACAATTGATTTCCTAGTCTATAAACATGCATGTGCAAGTATAACTAATGTGCTAACTTATCCCATCCCACTGCTGGGATGAGCCCTGTTAACATCTCAAACGACCCCAGTCTAAATAAAAAAAATATAAAAAAAACAATCTGAATCATTTACCGAATTAGAAATTACTTAATACAAATTGTAAGTTCCCTAAATTAGACTGCAAAACAAAAAACGTATCAATAATTAATTAGGTATTATCAAAAATTTACGCAAGCAAACAGGTACACAACCAACTTGTAATTAGATCATTATCACAATTAACCACAAAATATTACCACACATAGTAACAAAACCTAAAATTGATACAACCACAAATTCTACATGATACATCAAAAGTATTGTTTTTTTATTTTAGGTATATACCTATTTACATCCATACTTAATTAAAACAAATTTTCAATACACTGGCCACATATTTGTAGGCCATATCGAAAAAAAATAACAAAACGTCAAAGTCATCAACGCATTCTTCTTAAAAACAAACGAACGCAAACCTCCTTTCGAACTTTTTAAATATATTCCAAATCACGTGACATCCGCCCATCGGATCATCCCTATTCGCGTTCCGCANTGACATTAGTAGCTACTTACCCTGTTATAGGTATTAGGTACTTAATAATTAAGTTGTTTAAAGTAGGTAAGTACCTTATACTCTGGCCAAATGAGTGCAGGCCAAATCCTTCCATTTGCGTCTGGATATAGAGATAGAGATTCGAGAGTAATGGTGATGATGTCTTTATTATTTTGGCTTTGTAATGAAGGCGTGGGTTACAATCATCCTGTACAGCCAGCGTCAAATAGTTCGTGTCACCCAAAGTGACCAAAAAATTGGGGGTTAGTAGTAGTTTCGCACGATTTTCCTTCGCACGAATGGGTCGATTCGCACCCGTTTTTAATACTTTTGATAAATCCGGGCGAAACACCTACTAAAAAAAAATATTATTGAAAGGGGACGTTTCACACATTCGTGCGAAGGAAAATCGTGCGAAACTTTGGGTGTCATCAACTATTTGACGCTAACTGTATCTGTATGCAGTGTAGACTAATTGAATTTTTGAAAGAACCAAAATAAACATCTCTAAAAGCTATTAGCTTGGTAGTTGTTCTTTATTACTTTTTATATTTGTACGAAGGAGACACTTTTGAAACACAAAGGAATGCAATTTAAAAATATTGGATCTAAAAAGTTTCTGATTGACAGTAAAAAAGTATTCGAAAATATCCGGTTTGTGTTTTTTTAAATACCTACATACAGTGGAACATAACATAGTTAGATCCGGCTTCTTTTTTGAAGTCGGTTAAAAATTGATTGTTTGACAAATTCTATTCTAAAATTGAGGAAGCACAATGTTCGTTTGTTACATTAAGGTCTTAGGCTGAGTTGCACCACCTAACTTTGGCCGTAACTATATCGATAATATAATCGGTGTTTTTTTGTATGGAGTTTGACAGATATTTGACGTTTGTCAAAGTTAAAGTATGATGGTGCAACCCAGCCATAGAATTAAGTCTGTTTCCGTTTTAAAAAAAAAATTGTGGTAATTAAACTTTTGACTAGTGAACTTTTTCAGTAATTTATTATTATGTAAAACGAAAGCCAGACTGGAGCTTATCACAGAAACAAGAACGTAAATCATTCGGAATAATTAAATTGCTTACCGATTCAATAATAGATAAATCTAGGGCATTTAGGATTCATTACAAAGCTATGAATACGATATTTTGCTTAATTTGGTCCGCTTTAAATATTGTAATTAATTATTGTTTTGTATGTTTTGAATTAATTTTATCTTAGCCCACATTCTTAGGGCAGATTCACACGAAAGTAAAACAGTTGTTTTTTCATTTATCGATCCACAAAAAGCATAATCTCCTATCTTTTTAGGACCGCAGCCTAAAAAGATAGGAGATTATGCTTTTTGTGGATCGATAAATGAAAAAACGAACACACAACAGACACCCAAACTCCTATCTTTTTAGGCTGCGGTCCTAAAAAGATAGGAGATTATGCTTTTTGTGCATCAAAATAATAAAAAGAACAACAATATTGTCAAATAAATAGTGTTTTAAAGAGTACTGAACTCGCCAAAAGACCTTTTTTAACCGACTCAAAAAGGAGGTGAAAAAATATCTAAGCAAGTGTTACATGACACTATTACTCGTAATACCATAGACTAGTGGCCGTCGCATAGTATTTACCTAGTGGTGTCATACTTAATGAGCCGCCATAGGCGTGATACAGCGATAGCAGAGATGGCTTAATGTGCCGATGACAGATATTTAGCTTGTCCCCGCAGCGCGGAATTATTGCCTTATCGGATCATCAGATTGATACAAACCTATAATGATCTTACCAACTATTTTTTTTTTGCTGTTTTAATTTATTTTTGGAGTTTTCGATAATATTGATGTAAAAATAAATCAAAAAGTTTTTACAATTACACGACTAGAATACGTATAGAATTTAAGAAATACTTGTAATTATAAGTCAAATCAAATCAAATCATTTATTTACATATTTATTATTTACACAAGATAAGGATATCAAATAAATATACCGAAACAGCTGCATACCTGCGAATCATCATTGTCATCATTTTAGCCGCAGGGTATGCACTGCGGAACATAGGCCTCCCTCAATGATTTTCAGAGTAGCCGGTTGGAAACGCCTGCATTCAAAGCGCCTTTCTGCAGCCTTAATTCTACCCACGAATAAATATAAAATAACACGAGCACATATTTTATGGGTCAACGGGACTATAATAAACTACTAACTTGCCCCGAGGAATTTAAATCTCCTATTGCAGCTGACATTGCAGTTTGGTACGGAACGGAACCCTTGCCTTTGAGGCTGTCAAATAACTAAATATTACATCACCTGAAATGTTACTTTTAGACCGACTTAAAAACATATGCTATAAGTAGTGTAATGTAAAGATGCAAACCTAGAGCACGTTAGCCGATGTCCCCGATATAGAGCATTTGTAAACAAAGTCAGCTGATGTAATGCGGTAATCACATCGTCAATCATTGTATCATAAAATATCCACTATAATCCGATACTAATCATATTATTTCTCACAGCAAATACAAAGACGTCTCTTTATGCATCCACTCTCTTCAACAAAGTTGAACGATTTTTTAAAATATAAACTTGGCCTTCAATTGTTGGGAATTTTATTCGGCGGTGAAGCTGTAGATCCTGACTACACAGGAGATGCAGTGATGGGAACGAGAGGTGGGAATAGTCCCGTTTTAAATGCGCTTTATTCAGTTATCCCAGAAAATTAAACACAAGTTTGGTTGCGAAAGAAATACTTACAACTGAAAAACCTTGACAACGCCCGAGCCTATGGTGGCCTCAGACAATTGATTTCCTAGTCTATAAACATACATGTACAAGTATAACTTATTTGCTTACTTATCCCATCCCACTGCTGGGATGAGCCCTGTTAACATCTCAAACTACCCCAGTGTAAATAAAAAAAAATATGAAAGAACAATTTGAATCATTTACGGAATATTATTTCTTAATGCAAATCGTAAGTTCCCTAAATTATACTGCAAAACAAAAAACGTATCAATAATATTAATTAGGTATTATCAAAAATTTGCGCAAGCAAACTGGTACACAACCAACTTGTAATTAGATCATTATCACAATTAACCACAAAATATTACCACACATAGTAACAAAACCTAAAATTGTAACAACCACAAAATCTACATGATTGATACATCAAAGTATTGCTTTTTATTTTAGGTAAATACCTATTTACATCCATACTTAATTAAAACAAATTTTCAATACACTGGCCACATACGAGTTTTGTAAGCCATATCGAAAAAAAAAACATAACAAAACGTCAAAGTCATTAACGCATTTTTTCTTAAAAACAAACGAACGCAAACCTTCTTTCAATCTTTTTAATATAATATTCTAAATCACGTGACATCCGCCTATCCGATCATCCCTATTCGCGTTCCGCCGGAAGCCTGTACATCTCCCAATTAAAAATTACAGCACTGCACTTGCTGACCAGTTAATTGTTTCCAATTACTGCTCCAAGCGGGGTGCGACATATAAAAGGGGGCAGTCTATGACCAATCGGCATTCCGACTTCGAAGGTAGTAGTGTACACACGTCGTCACTTAGGCGAAAATTTCTAGGCGAGTACTGGATCTAACCAACCAGCAGCGCCTACGTTAGTTCGTTTGAGATCTCCATAAACATAGAAAATAAAACAGTAATCATGCAGTCTATGGTAAGTGTGACTTTACTATTTTTCACCATAATTTTGGTTCTGTTTAGAATTTAGATTTTATTTACGGCTATTTTTAATTTGGTTAATGATTTCACACAACTAAAAATACTGAAATATTTGGATTATTAAAATTAAATAATTTCGCTAAAAATATTAAAAATAAATTATATACAAATTTCGATGTGTCATATATATAAATATATATGACACATCGAAATTTGTGCAATTGCAAATCCAAAAAATCATGCTCATTTTGCTCATGAATGTTATGTACTTACTCTAAAATTTTAATCAGATGCTAAGTACTGTGTCAAGGCCTTTTCTAACAATGTAAATGATGATTAATACATGCATCCGGTTGGATATCGCCTACGATCCTCCCTCTCTCTGTAATCTACAAAACATAAATCATAGACAAAACAATAAAAACTTTTTAGAGGAGATGTAGCTTTCGCGCCAAAATCGCTGTCACAGCCGCAGTGCATTGGGCGGGCGCGAAGTGCGCATCTCTACATTCCAGTCACATCAGTGGGCGGGAAAGTTTAATCGTCTCTAGTGGCCAGTTTTGCAATTCCAAATTCAAACTACAGAATCGTTTTAATTTATACAGCTAAAAGAACTCGTTAATTTAAATAAACGCGTTATGAAATGCCGATAAATTACTTTAAATAATAAATTAAAAAGTGTGAGTTTAACAAAAAAAATATTTGTAAAATAGTAATTGAGACACTTAGGTTTAATGATCGTAATATAACTTGGTTTTTATTAATAGTTAGCTAATTGTATATATTATTCGCTTCTTTGAATCTAGTTTGATTTTGCAGCGTGTAAGCATACAAAATTACAGTCCCGGAATTGATAATTCTGGGTAAAAAACTCAATCAATTTTTTGCTCGATAAAAATGAATTAAAAGCAGCAGGTGTAAAAGTGGTGCTGAGCAATCGTAGCGTAAAAAATTTGGCGCGGGCCAATTAGGCCCCTGTTCAGGCGTGACGCGGCCGATTTCCATTTTTCGATGATGCAGAATTTTCTGTGACCTTCGTACAACCATAACACTTCCTCACGCCCACCGCTTCCTTTCTTGGGCAACGGCTAAATTGCAATACTGGTTGTGCACCAGTTGGCCAAATGATAATTCCGATCTCTTGCAAAATGGCTTTTGCAACGGAACGCTAAGCCAGCCCGATATGAGGTCCACGCCTACAAATTATGGAGCAGTCGCTTTGTCTGAAGTCCCTATTTTCCTTGATTGAAAATTGACAACATTGACGCTAATAGCGTGCGCTCGGTGTAATTTGCCTCCCATTCTGTCATTAGCTGGTCGCAAAATTGATTAGCTGTGCCGGTAAACGATTACCCTTAATACCCTGAGAACATAGACCACTTCCGTAGTAAAAAGTATAACTAACTTTACATATCCATAGAAGTATTTCTAGATAGCAACATCATCACCCAAAAACTGTAATGAGAAAATATAAGTGCCATTTCTTGTCTGCATTGCTACCGGCACTCGGCGCACGCAATTTTGTACGGCAATAAACAAAATTATAGTTGTAACATAAACAACAAATTTAGAACAAACCTTTCTACAATATACAGGCCTATGGCGATTTATTATTGCACAACTGTCGATTGTTTATAAAATGGCCTAGCTATTTACACTTTGATCGATTGTCGGAGAATTGGGTTGCGCTCACGCGGGCAAGTGCGCGTTCACAGAATTGGATTTAGCTGGTGTTCTACGTTCGAATAAATGGACTTGTCTTGTTTGTATTTTATAGTAGCCAGTTACACATTTGAATTGTTAAAGTTTACATAGCAAACGACTTTTGTTCCTTGTTTAATGCTTCAATGAAGAAATTGTAAGAGGAATTTGACTTAAATCACAAGATCTCTACAGAAGCTAAAAATAGCACGATCATTTTAAGGCATTGTCATTTCGTTCAAATCATAGATGTTTTTGTGTCGTGATAAATCCATGAAAAATTACTTGATGTTAAATTAAAAATATACCAGTCATGCCAATTGTTAGTGACATGAATAAAAAACTGTAACTGAGCTTATAATTTCCATTTAATTTTAGGAGTTACAGCAAGTTATTGACTTAAATCTAAACCACGACCTTTAGGGTACAATAAAATATCCTATGTTTTGTCAATTTAGAGTAGTATATATTTATTTATTTATAATAATATATTTAGTTCCTTGATAATGTCTGCAAAAGTTCATTAACTGTGACAGAAAGTTATATTCATTGTTAAACATTATTTGATATGTAACAGTTATACGCTATTAGTAGGTAGGTACTTTATGCAAGAACTTACATAAATATTTATATAGATTAAAACAAGTTCAGTTATCTACGTAGAATAAATTAGACACGCGTAATACCTTGCTTTAATTATAAAAATATTATAACAAGAATTAAGCAATGATTAATTTAATGTACAATTAATTTAACTGGTGCTTATCAGACGCAATTAGATAGACAACATTATTTATTAAATTTTCCGCATTGGTGTGTCAAAATAAATCTTTTGGGTGAATATGTAGAGCGGTTTATAAATATTTTAATGTTTTAGTCACACCCTTTAACTCATACTTAGTAAAGTTGCGACAAAATTCCTTGAAGCGTTAAAATCCGCAATATCTTAATGATACAACAACAACTACACTTAGGTTAATCAGTGTAGAGCATCATAGATACATATCACGTTTCCCCATTGTTTAAATTTGCTTAGAAAATAGAATGAGTTTCGCGTTGTAAGTCAAATCCTGTGGTTTCGTATTGGGTGTCAATAATTTGGGGGCCGTGTCGAATCGCAGATGGGTGCGTGGGCCTATTTTGTAATACAATTGACAATGCAATGATGTTTCGCGCATAGCTTCTGAGAGAGTCACCGTTTATGATTCGATCTGAGAAAGATGCAAGCTAATTGAGGTCAATGTTTCAAATTATACAGTTCTATAACAAGGATAGGTACAATGACTCAAAGTCTGCCTATTTATAGAAGAAATCATAACAACTTTACTACACTCATAAAGGGACATGGAAACTTGATACGTCTTCTAACAATAGCCGAGACTTCCCGAGACGACACAGGATATGAACAATGATCGGAAACGAGAAGGACGTTTCCTAATAGCCTTCGTTATCGAAACTAAATACGACAGGAAAATACACGAAAATCTTTCTAATTAGCGATTCAAAGCATTCTTTCATTTCCGTTTTTTCTTGAATAAACGATCAATGGCAAAAAATAGGAGAAAAACCTATCTTGGAACGTTTATTTTTTGTCCTAATTAAGTATCTTTTGCGTGTTACTAATAAATTCTTGTCTCAGCAGTCGTTAAGATAAACGGTGTTTTGTATTCGAATTTATGGTCGGTCTAGCCGATTTCCTAGTGTTCTATGTTTATCTGTCATCTGCATGGCCGGTGCGTGCAGCTATGCCACGCCCAGGCGCTTGCACTAACTCGCGGTGCTAATTTTAACTCCTTGCAGGGCTACTTCGAGACCATTAGTGACTGGATAAACGCGACCACTTTCGTTTTTTAATTGTTTTTTCTATGGTCTCAACTTTTTGGTGTTCTGAATTTGAATGAGCTTTGAAACTGGCCACTTACACAGATTCTGTCAAAAGTTTGTAAAGTTCTAATTTTAAATTTTCGTATTCACATTGTTATTCAAAGAGGTTGAATTTTTAAAATATAATTTCACAGTTCAAAAAGTTCGCGTAACTAGATCTTGTTTGTCACGTTTCACTAAAATTATTTTTTGTGTTTCGACTGCGCCCGCTTTATAATGGTCGCATAAAACATAGTGTAACAACACGGAAACCTAAAAATTTTCTATTATACTATTACAGCCATATTGCATCAGCTCACTTACTTCTTACTTACCATTTTCGTTTTGAGGGCTAACGTCATGCCGTGAGCAATGCATTGTTTTGTTTTGATATAAAACTATAAATTAAAATTTGAATAACACTCCTAAAAGATGACGAAGTCGCGAATTCGCACGCATTGTATAGTTGACGAAAGAAGCAAGTTAAAGAGTGCAGTGACTTATACAAATTAATATGATGACACGGATACCGTGGGATTAAGATCAACGTACTAGAAGATTATGTAGTGTAATTGTGGGTGACGCGAAATAACTGCCTTTTGTCATTGAATAGCGCGGTCTTGTTTCTCTTCAACTAGCGTTTGGCAATCCCGCTCGAAGGACCATAATGGTTCTCATATTAGGATAGAATTTAAAAAGGCTTATGTAGTGTGATTGTCGCTATTTAAAATTAATTGTGTACCTACCTCAACATTGTAGAGGAATGCTGCAAGTAATTCGAGCATGTAATAGAATAATAGACTACGTGATCAACACTACTTCCACAAGTAAGAAAGTGCAATTACTGAACGGAAATCGTCACTGAAAGTAGATCGTCTTGCACACGGTAGAAAATTAGAAATGTTTACAAAAACATTTTATATAATTCACGTCTCTGGTTTGATTCTAGCATACCTAGTCCTGTATTACAAAACGAAATTGATCTTAACAGTTTTAGTTTCCAAACTTTGCGTGTTTCATTTACTTTTTATGTTATTGATATTTGTATGGTGTACGTTGCGGTTATGAAAAGCGTGACACCATGTAACCGCGGTTGCGCTCTGATAGCTCGCTCGCGGCCAATGTCAGCAAAAGTTGTCGTTTTCGTCGACATTGCCTCAGTTACATCATAATTAGCTACAGCTGACATTGATGGCTTAAGTAATGGAGCTAAGTGAAAACTTTACGGATATGACACGACAAGTTTCCTTAAGGGTTTAGTTGATCTACTTTCAATATGCTCTATTTCATTAGTACCTACACTTAAATGGTCCAAGATGCTTTGGAAAAAGATGGCTTTGACTTTAGATCCGTAACATTGACATAGGTAACACAGACAACATATTTCTAGTAATCAAACACTAGTACTGTCATCGAGTTAAACCACAGACCTACCCTACCAGACAGGGCCTACCCACTAAAAACCTGACGTTGCCCTCGATAGCCATATGAGTCGGGAACGCGGGACATGACTATCGGCGTTTTGCCTCAAGCATTCGTCTGCGTTCCCTGCTTGGCATTCGGCTCGCTTAGTGCGCAGCCCCAAACCTTAATCCACAGACCAAAAATACCTACTCTAACCTATTTTTTCTTCTCCCACAGATTATCTTCGCGGCTACCCTCTGCCTAGCCAAGGCCTCCTTCTACGCGCACGCGCCCGCGCCCATCCAGCTCAGTCCCGACGGCAAATACGTCCTAGACACCCCTGAGGTGGCCCACGCGAAGGCTGCGCACTTAGCGGCGCACGCGCAGGCCGCCACCGCGCCCCACGGCGCGTGGGCCCCCGCCGGCCCTGCTTACGGCGCTGGATATGACGGACACTACGGCGCCCCTGCTGCTGGTAAGATTTTGGCATTAAATAAATAGCTATACGCGTTTGATCCGCTAGTGTAGATTTGCTGATTTAACGGTGTTACATACACAGTATGTCGTGAGCACCCACTGAGAATGTGAACAATAAACGGACTTGGATTTGCTAGAGTAGCTTAATTTAGCAGTACAGGCTCTCACCACGAGATCTCATGGAAAGTTGGCCGTGACCATAAGCAATAGCTGCAGGGCCAGTAGGAGCAGTAACAAGAGTATACCAGGACTAGGGTACAGCAGGTTAATCACCCACTTGCCCGAAAACATTAGATTAACGAAACTTACACAACAAGAAGAGTATACCACTAGGTATACCAAAAATAGATGCTACTTCCAGCCCACCCTATCTATCTGCTGGAAGACTCAATGTACCTACTTCAAACTTCTTCTATTGACAACTGGAAGTTTCCTGTTTTTTGTCAGCTGACATAGCATTGCTCTAGCAGTCTCCTTTCTTAGTCAACTCAACCATAACCACAAGCATACGAGTACATTGCAAGGTGATGGCCCATAAGTTCGAATACTGGTGCAGTCTCCTCGCTGGACCAAGCAATACAAGAGATGAATCTTAAGTCTATCTCATTTTACTCCATAATATCTTCATGTATCTTAAGTCTACCTCTTCTACTACATAGTTTCTTTATGCATACCAAGTCAGGTATTTGACCGCAATAGCACCTGGTGTTAAGTGAAATGCAGTCTAGGACGGTACATTATCTGAAAATTATAAATAATTTGAAAAAATCGAACTGCCTAAGGCGGAAATTTAACCTACGACCTTCCGCTTGCCGGGCGACTGCTCTTCTATCTGCCCTGTAAGTGCCTATATTGACTCTCGTCTTGACTTTTCAAGGGCCTTTTTTGGGGCCTTTGCCCTAAAGAAGTTCTGGTGTTTTAAGCATACCTTTTCCACCAGGTCTCATCAAATACGGCCCGGCTCCTCTCGCCCACGACGGCCGCGTGGTCGACACGCCTGAGGTCGCGCACCTGAAGGCCGCCCACATCGCCGCCCACGCCGCCGCCCACGCCGCCGCGCCGCACGGCCACGGCGCCCTAGCGCCCCTCGCCTACGCCGCGCCCCTCGCCCACGGCGCCGGTTACGCTGCTGGTTACGGCGCCGGTTACGGCAAATGGTCTGGCCCTCAGGTAAATGTCAAGGAATCTTTCTTTAAACCACCAGTCAGGCAGGCAGGCACGCCGCCGCGCCGCACGGCCACGGCGCCCTGGCGCCCCTCGCCTACGCCACGCCCCTCGCCCACGGCGCCGGTTACGCTGCTGGTTACGGCAAATGGTCTGGCCCCCAGGTAAATATCAAGGAATACTTTCTTTAAACCACTCGGGCTAGGATGCGCGCCGTGATAAAATCTTACCACGCCGCCGCGCCGCACGGCCACGGCGCCCTAGGGCCCTTTGCCTACGCCGCAACCCTCGCCCACGGTGCGGGATACGCTGCTGGTTACGGCAAATGGTCTGGCCCTTAGGTAAATATCAAGGAATACTTTCTTTAAACCACCTAGGCTAGGCTAGGATGCGCCCCGTGATAAAATCTTAACACGCCGCCGCCCACGCCGCCGCGCCGCACGGCCACGGCGCCCTGGCGCCCCTCGCCTACGCCGCGCCCCTTGCCCACGGCGCCGGATACGCTGCTGGTTACGGCGCCGGTTACGGCAAATGGTCTGGCCCCCAGGTAAATATCAAGGAATACTTTCTTTAAACCACTCGGGCTAGGATGCGCACCGTGATAAAATCTTATCACGCCGCCGCGCCGCACGGCCACGGCGCCCTGGCGCCCCTAGCCTACGCCGCGCCCCTTGCCCACGGCGCCGGTTACGCTGCTGGTTACGGCGCCGGTTACGGCAAATGGTCTGGCCCCCAGGTAAATATCAAGGAATACTTTCTTTAAACCACTCGGGCTAGGATGCGCACCGTGATAAAATCTTATCACGCCGCCGCGCCGCACGGCCACGGCGCCCTGGCGCCCCTAGCCTACGCCGCGCCCCTTGCCCACGGCGCCGGTTACGCTGCTGGTTACGGCGCCGGTTACGGCAAATGGTCTGGCCCCCAGGTAAATATCAAGGAATACTTTCTTTAAACCACTCGGGCTAGGATGCGCACCGTGATAAAATCTTATCACGCCGCCGCGCCGCACGGCCACGGCGCCCTGGCGCCCCTAGCCTACGCCGCGCCCCTTGCCCACGGCGCCGGTTACGCTGCTGGTTACGGCGCCGGTTACGGCAAATGGTCTGGCCCCCAGGTAAATATCAAGGAATACTTTCTTTAAACCACTCGGGCTAGGATGCGCACCGTGATAAAATCTTATCACGCCGCCGCGCCGCACGGCCACGGCGCCCTGGCGCCCCTAGCCTACGCCGCGCCCCTTGCCCACGGCGCCGGTTACGCTGCTGGTTACGGCGCCGGTTACGGCAAATGGTCTGGCCCCCAGGTAAATATCAAGGAAGACTTTGTTTAAACCACCAGTAGGATGCGCGACGTGATAAAATCTTACCACGCCGCCGCGCCGCACGGCCACGCGCCCTAGCGCCCCTCGCCTACGCGGCGCCCCTCGCCAACGGTGCTGGTTACGCTGCTGGTTACGGCGCCGGTTACGGCAAATGGTCTGGTCCCTAGGTAAATACCAAGGAATCTTTCTTTAAACCACCGTTCGAGCTAGGATACGCGACGTGATAAAATCTTAACACACCGCTGCCCCCGCCGCCGCGCCGCACGGCCTCGGCGCCCTGGCGCCCCTCGCCCACGGCGCCGGTTACGCTGCTGTTTACGGCAAATGGTCTGGCCCCCAGGTAAATATCAAGGAATCATCTTCATCATCTCAGCTATAGGACGTCCACTGCTGAACATAGGCCTCCCCCAATGCTTTCCATGTTACCCGGTTGGTAGCGGCCTGCGTATATCAAGGAATACTTTCTTTAAACCACCAGCCGGGCTAGGATGCGCGTGATAAAATCTTATCGATGATTTTAGACGACAAACGTATGGGCTTATCACGTATAATTTATAAAATGGCGCGATAAAAGCTTATCGCGGCGCGCATCCTACGCATAATATCTTAGGTCCTCATCTTCTGCATTTTTCCATGTAAATGACTTGGAATAGTAGGTCTTCTGAATACCGATGATGGTGACTGAAATCTGTAAAATTACAAATTCGTAATAAAATTGTGTAGGGACAAATGCAGCCTCTCAAAATATATTCTTGTTTGGTTGACTCTACATAGTTGCTTACTCTTAGATTGTGCATAGAAGATCCACATTTTAGGAGAATCAACCACATGAGAGACTAGTGCAAACTAAGAAAGTTGCATTGCATCGATTGCATCCATTCGTCAAGATTTATAATTACGTCATATTGACCTTAGACTTGGCATTGGCAAGAAACTATTACTGAAAGATTGTTAACATCATAAAGCAATTAATACATATGTACCTTTATCCATGTGAAAGAGTCCTAGTTCTCGCCCAAGTATCAACAGACTATAGTCTCAGTTCTTGCCCAAGGAACAGACTGCAAATCTCAATTCTCGCCCTAATTCTCTTCTTAATAAGTCCTCTTTTTCCAGGCCCACATCCAGCTGACCCACGACGGCCAATACGTAGTAGACACCCCTGAAGTCCAGCACGCGCGCGCCGCTCACCTCCACCAATACGCCGCCGCCGCGCACGCCGCTGCTGCCGCGCCTGAGGAGCCCTGGGGCGCCCACGGAGCCCACGGTTGGCACTGAACCCTACCTCGACCGCACGCCCGACTGCCTTTTATACAAAATGTACATAAAACCCAAAAAAATACTGTAAAGAATGACTGTGTTTATGCAACTGCAACTCTGTAGAGCGAACTTGAAAATATAAAATAAAAATCTAATAATTTATCTTTTTGATTTCAATCAATGTATCCTCAACACAATATCTAATACACCCAACGACCCAATGAACAAAGAAGTACCTACTTTGAGAACATTTTTGAAAACATACTATACTTACTTCCTTGATTGTTTTTCTGAAAATAATAGTCACAGATAGACACGTTATTAACCAGATCCCATATAGTGCCGTAAGTCAGCCTTAAGTCCGATGTTACTACTTAAACTGCTATTATAATGCTACTATACTGCTAATGTACAACCATAGTGAACTTAAGGCTGTCTAATTTGTGCCCAAACTGGTTCTATAAAAGCATTATAGCAAGCTATACAGCTCGTATGCAGCTGACATACACAGCTTGTGGAGTACATGTGAACGACTAGACATACTATATGTATAGAACCCCGAATGCTACTTGGGACATATCGCACATTAGATTACAATAATGGCCTTAGTTCTTTCTTGTTTGTTAGCAATAGAAAGAAAATCAAACGAATTTTGACGTCAATTCATACCATCTAGAATAGAAAATTGTACCTACATAAAAACTCTCCAACACGCCTGAAAATCAAAACCTATAAGAGAGTAGGTATCGTACTCGTATCGTAGAGCTTATTTGTATTTCCGAAATATCTATTGTAGTATATAAAATTAGTGCCAATAAAGCTAGATCTTAGTAGTCATAAAATTTGAAATGCCCTCTGATGCTCGAAATTATACATCTTTTCGAATACCCAACTTGATTAAAAATCACATTTTGCATGCAGCATGACCTTGAGATAAAAAACGTCAATTAACTGCACTTTCATTTCGTTAGTTAAGCATGAATAATTGCTCACGAAAGTAGTTAAAAATTGCAGTCATTTGCAGCACACAAACGATAAATGCAACACGAAAATGTAGAGCATATTCGTTCGTTTTAGCCAAATGACGTCCACTGCTGGTCAAAGGCCTCCCCCGAGGTTTTCCGCAATGAAGCACATTACAATTTTATATTTTATGTCAACTTAAATTCTACAATCTCTCTAATCTCATTTTTTTTGTGAATATTGTCATGCTGTGAATATGTGAAAAGCTCCTACATTATAAATATGCGAATATCAGTCCTCACAAACCCGTCTGGGCAGCGTGGAGTGTATAGGCCATATCCTCTATATTATCATCATCATCATCATTTCAGCCACAGGACGTCCACAGCTGAACATAGGCCTCCCCCTATGACTTCCACATCGCACGGTTGGTAGCGGCCTGCATCCAAGGCCTTCCTGCTACCTTTGTAAGGTAGTCGGTCTCTATATTATGCATCTAATCAATTAGAAATGATGATGATGATGTGAAATTCTTCACAGGTGAGAAATTATGATAAATTCTATGCTGGTGAACTTTGTAAGATTTTATTTTGGATGGCGTTGAAGCAAAAGTTTTAAGCGCCTGGAATCTCTGGTTCGAATTATGACCTTCTGAATCTTTTAGAAAACTATGTAAAGATAGCTCTAAGCTGTCTCTGTCATACCTTCAAGCTTTGAAATCGTGGATAAATGATACAATTTTATGATTGATCTTATATTTCGCATTGCAAACACTTTTTCTTTATAATAATTATTGTGATGCTAAAATCTTTAGTGTGCAACTTGTGGTTACGATGTTTTCTTCAGGCGCAAGTTTCCTGCATTATGTATGTATGTAAGGTATACATGAAGAGATTAATTTACTTATTTAGAAATAAAGCGAGTCCTTGTTTCAGTCGACTATAATTTCCATGAACCTGGATTGTAGTCATAGTGTCAACAACCATAAATTAACAAAGCCCTTATTTTTATCGCATTATCTTTGATTTAAAAACTAAACAAGTACATATTTGTCGTCGGAATTTTATCGAACAAGCCTCAACTATTCGCGGTAAAACAATATCTCTTTATAAGGACAGCTCTATCAAAGGAATAAGACAGGCTTACAAATTAATTATCGTTTTTGTTAGAAATTCCAACCTAGATATTAATATTGATACTTACAAGTTTTAATTGCTGTTTTATTCTATAAGGAGGTACACATCATATTATTTCTTTTTTTGTTGCAAAGTAACACCTATTACAAACAAAATAAGATGTCACAGCTAGTGTTACCTTGCCATGATGTGCTTCCGTACAAGCGATCATAAAAACCCTTTTGTAGATATCATAAGTAATAACTGCTGACAAATCTATTTATGAACTAACACTTTACTTCTTGTTAGATTTGAAGAGCGATAACTTATGTAGTAAGTTGCATTCATGTGCAAGTAACTTTTTTACGCTGCTCTCCTTGTTGCGGGAATGTCAAATTGGAAGGAAATGTTATTACAAGTTTTTAGTTATTTCTTTGTAAAGTTAAGTGGCATTCTACAAAAGTTGTAAGTTTTGTTTGAATAAAGGATTTTAAAAATTGTATTACGTAGGTACTTATTGTTTGTGGCCGCACACGGCCCCGGCCTCCTCCTTGACACTGGCCACTATCAAAAACCTCATTCTTTTTTTATGACCAATTTCGCTTCTCTTTTGTTTTTTCTCACGCTTGACCCACGAAATTCTACGTTACATGAATTTTCACGACTCGAATTTGTAATTGTACATAATAGTAATAGATCCCATATTGGAATATTCACTAAACGATACCTACCCCGAAGCACACAATGCAACATTAAACCAAAAAAACCGGCCNAACCAATAAAAAAAAAAGAAAAAAAAGGCCGTATGTATAAATCTAAAGGAAAGGACAATAAAAGCTGGTATTGTCATGCCTGTCTCGAAGACAAAGTAGCAGATATGTGACCATAAAGGACTGCTTTAGGTGGTATCACAAAGATTGTGTAGGAGTTCGTAAAGATGATTCAGAAGCCTTTTTATGCCCTGGTTCTAACAAAAAATTATGTCTTTTTTTGTTTACAAAAATTCAAGACTAAATGATGTTCCTAAACTGATTTATTTGAAAGGTTTTATGTGTAGGCCTTATTCGAACACGGTGTTTTAATAAGCCCTATGCAAAAAAATAATAATGTTTGTTTTTGATATTTTTTTTGATAATATATGCAAGGAATCATTAGTTTGTTACTATGAATATTTAATTTTATCTATAAGTTATGTAGGTAATTCTTAATAAGTGGAATTTAAGATTATCTAGAGATGAAGAGTATATTTCTGTTTACTTGGTATGTAAAATTTTGATAACGGAAAGAAATCTACGTGTTTAATGTTATGAGACCGCATTTTGTTTAATACAATCACAATTTTAAGGTCTAGAGGCATTTGAATCATATAGGCCTTATTCCGTGTAGGTGATTTAATAAAGCCAAAATCAGTGGTTTCGTAATTTGCTTATTTTGAATAGATTTAGTTAAAAATTGTGTTATTTTTTGTAATATTGCTAAAATTAAAGGATGGAAGAAGTTAATTAACCTTGATTTTGTTGATTAGCGTTATTATTTATTGAAATATAAGCATTTAAAGTTAGGTAGGCCTTATTTGTATCAAGTACCTTAGATATTTTTGTATGCGTCTTAGATTTGGTATTTTGATTGTTTTTTTAAAGTATTTTGCATAATAAAGATTGTAGGTATATTTATTAGTTTAGTGGTGTTTCTCACCACATAGGAGTCTACCTCAAAAACAACCACTGATGATGATGATGATGGTATTCCGTTAAAGTAAATAAGTACAGGTTAGTTAGTGCAATATTTAATCAATACATTTAGATAGAGCCATGCCGTTAACATTAAATTAACGAATCATGATTTTAGATCTAAACTTAAGCTTGAACTGATTTTCAGGGTCGTTTCAGAATTAACCTTGCCTTCCTACTCCCAACGAAAACCTTCTAACATACACCAGAATAAACCATAATATTTAAGAGTCACCAGCATAAAGAAACGTGGGAATACCTCGCAGAGGACATACAATAAGGGGTATCAGTTTCATTGACACAAATACCTTCGAAGTGGGTTGGCTAGCCCGCATCGACTCGGTTAGACTGTACTTGGTCATTTTACATGACACATGGTAAGACTGGGACTTCAATGTCATGGTGGTAATTTATCATCAACTAGCTGACCCGGCGAACTTCGTACCGCCTTAGCGTAGAGATTTTCTTAATATTTTTTTCCGTAAGAACCATCCTTGGACTTCCACAAACATTAAAAAAAAAGAATTATCGAAATCGGTTTAGCCGTTCACACGTGATGCCGTGACAACGCGAAACGGGTTTCATTTTTATATATATAGATTAAACGATTCTTCAGCTACGTTACGTATCATTATAGTAGAAAAATTCCTAGTTGCTATGAATAACCAAGTAACACTATGCAGTAGAATCTTTAAAAAAAAATGAAATTGTATTTAAAGATNATTTAAACTTTAAAATGCATTGAATTTGGTATATCAGCCAGGTGCCAACAACGGGCAAACTTTATATGCACTGTGATCTATTAGTTTTTCATATTTTTTGTTAGACTTTTCTTTAGATGTACGAGACATAGTCACTTTACGAAAACGTCGACTCCTTACGTTAAAAGTAAAGCAATGTTGTTCAGCGATTGAAGTTGCTCCAAGTGACAACCAAATTGAGAGAGTCGTTTAATTAGGTACTTATAATAAGTATTAGGTACTACAAGCCTTTTCAGCTAGCTATGTACCAGAGTTTTAAACATGAAAGGTGTATAGAAATGTATAGTTTTCGTATTTAAGTATTTTATTTCAACAGAGCCTGATTCTCGTATTTTAAAAAGTGACATTTTTAAAATCTCCGGTTGAAATTGCCGGAGTTCGGTTTTTGAAGACAAACAATTTCTGGAATATTCCATCAATAATGTATTTTTTATAGCAAGTGCTAGTAGTTTCTCGCTAATGTCTACGAGCAAGGGAATCTCTTTCCGTACGACTGTGTAACAATCTCTAACAATCGACTACGCTTAGAAGTGACATAGTAGGTATTAGGTATACCTACTTCCATATATGTAATAACTTTAATGTA